ATCTCCAATGAACCACTAGAAAACCATAAGTGGTGCTGTGGCTCAAGAGGTAGAGTGCTCACCTTGAGCTGAAGAGCACAGGGACAGCGCCCAGGCCCAGAGCTCAAGCCAAGCCCCATGACTGACAAAAAAGAAAAAAAAAGAAAAGAAATGGAGGGACAAAGGGTGAACAAACGAAGCAATGGTATTCACTGGACACTGTGTGGAAAATGTACTATATAACTTGTGGGTGGGATGGGAGGGAAAAACTGGGAAAGAGTGAGAGAAGAGATGACATTGTCCAAAAAGAAATGTACTCTTTATCTGATTGTAACTATAACCCCTCTGTACATCACCTTTAGAATAGCAATAACAGAAATAATAACCAAATGAGAGTACATTAACCAAATAACGTTTCCAATGACATAGGTGATTGGCACTGATTAAACATATTACATTTTAAATATTAGACTATATTAAATAACTACTTTGGGTGACTTAAAAGTAATTAAAATAAACAGTTGAGTATTCAGGGAAGATTTGGAGCTACATGTGTGGCAAAGGGGCTTTGAGATTTTGTTGTAATTTACACAGATCACTACAAAGTTTTAGGCAGCTGATATTCTAAATGATCACACAAGGAGAAAAAACAAAGATCATCAGGAGGTATGCCTGCCTGGAAAGATTCAGGCAGAGATGTGGTTGGTGTCTTTAACATTGAAGAGTAGGCAGTAAATAGTATTTCACTGGATTCCTGAATTAGAGGTGGGGTATGGGAAAACAGGAATTATTCTACATATTGTGCTACAAATTCATTAACCCATAGTTGATGGTAAGAGCTTACACAATAGAAATGCAAATAGAAATGTTTACATGTGTATCAAATACAAAACCAGAATGCCATACTGGCAAATACAACAGAAATTGGTCCCTAGGCTTTTGTACACTCAGATACATTCATTTGGGCATAGAATGAGAATTTATTAATCAGGTACAAATGGAACCTAGAATTGCTAAAATATATTCCTTTAGTTTTCACTGTGCAATATGGAGGATGACCAAAAATTAGCACCCCAACGTTTGCCTTTCTGGCTCTATGATCATACCTGAGAATCCTGGGAGATCTTTAGTCTCCCTCTCTCTTTCTATTTATTAGTTCCAGTGACAGTATTTGGAGATTGTCATGTTTGGGCAAGCCTGAGAGCTAGAAACCTTCCATTCTATACTTAAAAGGAAACATTGAGCCAGCATGGAGGTAAAGGTAACAGAGGGATAGGAAACACAAAGCTGAAAGTTTCATTTGTGCAAAAACGGATTTATTTGTATGCTTCTCTGGTTCTCCACTACTTGGCTCTCCCCATTGGGTTCATAGAACACATCACGCGAGACAGTGCCCACGCCCATATCATCACCCCTGAGTGAGCCCTCCACTGGGGGAGCATGTGATACACAGTAGAGCGTGGTTTCTGGCCTGCATTTTTGTCACACTTTTCCAGAACACCTAAGTGATGTTCCTTTCCTGACTCTCCGCCTCTCTCTTCTCCTCAGGACTACTGGCTCTCTCTCCTTTACAAGCGCCTGATTGGCCCCAAAGTCCTGGCAGTACATGTGGCTGGACTCCAGCGGAAGCCACGGCCAGGACGAGTCATCCGGGATAAACTAAGGATTTATGCACACTGCACAAACCACCACAAGTAAGTCTTCACAGAGAAGGAACAGGAGGGCCACCCAGATGGGCTTCAGCCCCACTTGGAATTTCATACCCATGGGGACTCCTTCATGACTTAACCTCTATTCAGTAGCCTTCCTTAAGAACTGCCTCTCAATTTTTTTTTTAATTTTGCTATACTGGAGTTTGAACTCAGGGCCTTGCACTTGTTAGACAGTGCTCTATGGCTTGAGCCATACTCCCAGATCTGAAAACCGCCTCTGAAATCACCATGCTCTCCACATGTGCTGATAAATAGCTTTTACTTTTCTCAGGATTCATTTGTAAAAAGGTTCTTAAAGTACAGGCTGTTTGTTCATTTACTTACTCATCCAACAAATTTTTATTGGGCATTTTCTCCGTGCCAGTTGACGTAATGCCCACCAGCATTTTTTTTCCTTCCTTCTTTTCTTTTTTTTTTTTTTTTTCTGTCTCCTTTGGTTTTGTTAACTTGTGCCTGGGCCAAAACAACAGGCCAAGCCTCACCCCAGGAGGCACCCACAGAGCTTGAGGAAATAAGTCTCCATTTCAAAGATGCTTGCTGCAACTACATCCCTGGAACTCAAGTCCTGGGATTGGTGCACTCAAACCAGTACCCCCTCACAAAGAAAGTTCAAGTCGTGCTGACTTGAGATTGGTTGTCAGTTTTTTCAAACATCTCTGCTACTTTAAGTGTGAGGAGGAAAAAGGAAGAGTAGGCCGGAAAGAAAACAGATAATGATCCACAACTTATCCTTCTCTTTTTGACCTGAAGCACTGCTTGTCATTAGAATTGTCTTTAACAAAATCAACTACAAAAAAAAAAAAGGGAATTTTTTGTAAATAAAGTTTGGCAGATTAAAAACTTTCAATCACCAAGGCTATATAAGGGAAATATTTAAAATTGGGCCTAATGCAAAACTACCTGGCCCCACTAGATATTTTTCTCGCATCACTTCCTGTTCAGGAGGAAGTTGCCTTGGAAAATTCTTGCTCTTAATGCAAGAGAAAACCTGGGGGCAGGGAGTGCTTCCTGCCAGACCACCACCCTGGGTCTATTTGAGCTGATCAGAGGGGGAGGGGAAACACAAAAATGCCGCCATGGTCAGATTACACCAGATGCTCCTTTCTCTGTCCTGGATGAGACAGGAGCCAAGCTGGTTAGTTCTACATGATAAGAATTTTCAAAGACTCCCTCTGGGTGGGGTGGGGGTGGGGGGTGGGGGGGTGTCAGGGACATGGGCCATTTGTCTTGCCTGTAGATACAAGTGCCTATTGTAGGGGAGGGGAGGCTGGCTTGGGTAGAGGCCAGAGGTTTTCAACATCCCTTTTGCTCAGCAGGAAGCTCAATCCCTTACCTGACAGACAGTGACTGTTTTATGGTTTGATTATTATCTGATCACCACAAGGCAACATTGTCTTCCTTGTCTCTGCCCTGAGACAACCACCCAAAAGGTGGACCCTGGGCTTCAAAAGAGAAAAATTGCTCTTGGCACCTTCTCTCCAGGGTGGAAAACAGCGTCTGTGGGCTTTCTACGACTGTCTGGAGACCCAAGGCAGAAATATTAGTTACTGTACAGAGTTAGCAGGATTTGAGAATCATCCCCAGAGGACTCACCCCAGTGCTGGTCCAGGGGTGACATTGTCATAGGAAGTTGTCACTAATATTCTGAGGACACCATTGTCTCACTCATTTTTTTAGGTCTAATAGAATAACTGCCATGAAGATAATCCTGTAAATGTTTGAGAGAGAAATGCCCAAGTGGAGGCAGAAGTTGGGCATGAAGATGTCCCACTGGTTTATAGTTACTTTCTCTTGCCTACCTATGGTTCTATCTGCCAGACCAGAGGGTGTTACAAAGGGAGTAGGCATTCTCCCATCCACTACCATGAGACTTTAAGCTAAGGCAGAGTAGGTAGAGAAGACAACCAGAAAAATTAAGATAGAAAGCGTTAAGGAGTCCAAACTCAGGAAGGAAAACAAAACTAAGAAGTAAACCTGAAAAATCAGAGCAGCAATCCATCCTCCCATCACTTTGTTTTCCCAGTTAAAGGAACCAATAGCTCTCAGGAAGTGGAGTGTGGCTCAAGTGGTAGAGAGCCAGCCTTACGTGAAAAAAGCCAAGGAAGAGCTCAAGGCCCTGAGTTCAACCCCCAGTGTTAACCCCTCATCCCACCACTCCTAATCTTCTCCCCCCACCAAAAAAAAACAAACAGAAATCAACAAATGTTAAAGAAGACACAGAACAAAGGGCAAATCTGCCTCCTAAGAGACACAAAGCTGCAAAATCATGGACTAGGTAGACAGAAAACTGGTCATGTCTGGCAAATGAAGTCTTGAAATACACACCTGTTGCGCTGTGTTTTAGGTATACATAAACCACAGCCCTGTGTCTTCAATCATTAGAACCATTTTAGTCATGTTTTAGGTAATAAATCCACTCCAAAAGCTATCAGCTCAATACTTGGAAGCCTAGCAAAACAGTTATAGGACATGACCATCTGTAGGCTTCCAGCTCAGAATATAGAAAGATTCCCAAACAAGAACTACCCTGCTGGGTCATGTCACACATGAACCTAACAAGAAAAAAGGTTCTCATTAGATCTGTAAAGAAAAGGTTCATCCAAAGATTGCAAGTCTCCTTCCTGCAGGGGGCAGGTGCCCTGACAGGTGAGCGAAAGGACAAACGCATCTGCCTCTGCCTTAGGAGCCATGGCCTGTCTGTGCCTCACATCTTCCACAGCAGCCGTAAGGAAGCACTGCTGATGCATTTAAATTATGCATGGCTAAAGAGGCCAAAGTCACGGAATCGTCTCCAAGTGGGAATGTCAGTGTCATACTAATTGGCCCTGACCAGTAGTTTAAAAATAAATGCCCTCGATCAAAACAGAGACTGGTTGAGAAAGCATAAACTTACTAATAAAATAAGTCAAAGAAAGTAACCATTAAAATATCAACTCCAGTTGTGGGGGGCTGGTGGCTCACACCTGTAATCTTAGCTACTCTGGAGGCTGAGATCTGAGGATCACAGTTCAAGCCAGCCTAAACAGGAAAGTCCTGGGACTCTGATCTCCAATTAATTACCAAAAATCCAGAAATGAAGATATGGTTCAAAGTGGTAGAGCATTAACCTTGAGCTTAGGGATGGTGCCCAGGCCCTGAGTTCAAGCCCCAACACACACACGAAAAAAAGAAAGAAAGAAAGAAAGAGAGGGGGGGAAGGAAGGAAGAAAGAAAGGAAGGAAGGAAGGAAGGAAGGAAGGAAGGAAGGAAGGAAGGAAGGAAGGAAGGAAGGAAGGAAGGAAGGAAGGAAGGAAGAAAAGAACCATCGATGCCTGTTTGGGAAGTACAGTTAATAAAATTGGGATGACACAGAGAAGATCAACATAGCCCCTGCACAAGGGTGACACACAAATTTGTAAGCCATTTTCCATATTCAAAACCAAAGGAACATCTGGACACCAGTGGCTTATGACTGTAATCCTAGCTACTCTGGAAGCAGTGATCTGAGGACTGTAGTTTGAAGCCAATTCATGCAGAAAGTCCATGAGACTCTTATCTCCAATTACCCAGCAAAAAGCCAGCAGTGGAGGCACAGCTCAGGTGGTAGCGTGCCAGCCTTGAGTGAAAAAGCCATACAAGAGCACAGAGGTCCTGAGTTCAAGCCCCAGTACTAGCACAAAAACAAAAACAAAAGAAGAGCATCAGCTCCTGCATCCAGTATGTATTGAACACATGCTACCTAACAAGCTGCTTGCCAGATACCTGCTTTTATATTGTGTTATTTTCTTACATTTCCAAAATTCTGTTATCTCACCTATGTGCAAATAACAACATTAATGATGCTAACAATTATTTTTTTTCATTCGGAGAGAATTCTTACGGGTCATTTGGCCCTGTTTTCTATTGAACACAGATCCTTTTCAGATCTCCCTGAAAATCTCTTCACTGCCCCTTATGGCAGTCTTTGTATTGTGGGTCATTTCTAACCTAGAAGAGCCTAGTTCTCCTGACTGGTTGACGAGAACGTGTTAGGTACTCAGGCCACCAACAGCAGGTGCTTCTCTGCTTTCTGTTCTGGAATTAACCAGTTATGATGCTGGAAGACTTAAAATTTCTCACCTTCGATCTTGTCCAGAGAACAATCGATTGGACCTTGCTGCTATGATAATGTGCTGTGTGGGGGTGAAGTTGAAGTCCTTAGCCACATTCAGAACCAGTGGGAACCTGGTGTGTGTTGAAATGAAATGGAGCCATGTTGGGTTCAAGTTCGTTTATTATTGGCAAAACATGACTTCCTGTTTTTCAGGAGGAGTTATTTTTTTTAAGGCTCATAAAAATGGTTCCTGAGGCTTCTTGGACATCAAATGACTCTTCCAAAACAATATTTTGATGAGTTAAGTGTAAATGAATCAGAAACATGTGGATTAAATTTCCCTCAAAATACACAGGGGCTTTGAAATTAAGAGGGAGAAGAAAAAGAAAAAACATTTGGCAAAACAGAGCCTGACTTTTACCAAACTCCAACCCTTTGAATTCGATTATGGAGACGATGGACCAACTGAATTTTCAAGCACTTTGACTTTCACTGGGATTGGTCATGAACTGTGACATACCATCCTCCCTTTCTTTTCCCAGACTCCCAGCCTCCACTGGAGATGTTTCTAGAACATGACTGTTTTCTATCTGGAACTCAAGATGTACCTTCCATATCCATGTCCCACCTCTCATATTTAGGGTATTCTCATTCCAGCCTCTTCGCTCTGACTCACTTCCTCCTCCTATAACAACAGAGAGAAGATGTCAAGCAGGGAGAAAACAGCCAGAAAAGATGAACTCCAGATACATAGATTGGCAGCTGGTGAGAAAGTCTCACCATGACAGAGACATAGACTAAGATAGCAGTATAGCTTTGCTTCACAAAGGGACCTTCAGGAAGATAACCAAAAGCCACAGGGACTTGACCCCACCAAAAGCCAAAAGTGGCTGACCAAGCCTTCAAACACCATTTTCTTAGGGAACAGATATTCCTCCAGGAGTACTTCTCTGTGGACAGAGAATCAACATTCTTCAGGAATCTGGATTCTGAACACAGTACGCTCAGGTTGATGCTGGGATCCCTAGCCAAGAATGTGTCTTCCCAGCCAAAGGCCTCTGCTTCATGTCCTTGCCCATCTGCCAAGCAGGGCAGAGGAGATGGCGGATGCAGCCTTCAGTGCCAATTTCTACCTGAGGAGGCTCTGTGAGTTCCCAGAGAGGCTGTGAGCACAAGTCCCTGGGCTGTCCTGGTTTGTGTCTCCCAGGAGAACTGAGTCAATGGAAATCAGACCACTGCCAAACAGCTTGGAAGGCTGGCTTTCCCCATTGCAATACTGTGACTTCAGGTCTCACTCTCACCTAATACTTCCCCACATCCCACCCTTCTCTCCTGAGTCTCCACGGGCTCATTCTGCCCCAGCTCTGTGGAGGGAAAAAACTCATAAATGCAAGCACATGGCGCGCTCTCTCTCTTTCTCTCTCTCTCTCCTTCACTGGCCTTTGAGAGTGTTGTGTGATACGGTCATTTCTAAAAGATTACTGCAGTTTGAATGGGCACCTGCCCATGCCTATTTAGTTTACATATGGAAGCTTAGAGTATATAATGGTGACCTCCTCCATTGCACATAGCCAAGCTAGGCAGAAAGCCCACCCATGGGGTTTATTTGGTGTTCTTCTCCAGTGATGATCAGCACCAACACAGGCTTGCCAACATCTTTCTTCAGAGTTCTGGTGACACAAATCTGCTCGAATCCATTTCTATCCTCTTCTGACTCATCTGGCTATAAAAGCAAATCCATATGCTGCAGGAGATTAAGAGGGTCTGCATAGGGGAGCCATTTAAAACTTTATCAGAACAGAAATGCAGGCATCCAAAAAACTTTGAACACAATAACAAACCCTCCCATAGACACAAGAAAAGTCATCTGACATACAACCAGTAGGATGGGGGTCTCCTCCTCCTCCTCCTCCTCGTCTTCCTCCTCCTCCTCCTCCCCTCCTCCTCCTCCTCTTCTTTTCCTCCACTTCTTCGTCCTCCTCCTCCTCCTCTTCATCTTCTCCATGGTGGCACTACAAAACTAGTTCAAACCCAACTCATTGGCCAACTGAACTGTAATCTCTTCCAGGAAGCACCCTGGAAACTGTGCTTCTTTTTTTTTAATCCCAAGTTATCATACTGACCTGCCCTTGGCTGTTCAACTCTTAATTAGCACCTTTAGAAGCAGGGTTGAGTGACTCAGGGTTCAAGGGACAGTGTCTGCAAGGAGTGATGTTTTCCTCTGGGCAAAGTCGACTTGGAGTTTCTCCGAACCTCTCCTTTGAAGGTTGGGCTGGGTCATTTTTTTTTTCTGTTTCCTCTCATTAACTCATCCAGATGGGGCCCTAAGGGACCCTTTAGAAACAAAGTCTTTCCTACAGAGTGAAGGAAATCATTATAGTTTTGTGGATACACACTGAAAAAGCTCTTGCATGTAGGCATATAGTTCTCCCAGGGTTCTGGACATCCTGTGCTGGTTTTAAATGGTTCCAAAATGGTGACGAGTGTTATGCTTTGAGGTAAAACAGCCAAAGCAGGAATCAAAAAAGTGATAAATAAATTTGTATCCAAAACCTGTTCTGCATCAGAATACACTGCCATCAAACTGAAACAGCCAAAGAAAATGGGGAGCTTTTGTAACATGTATACAAAGGATTGCTATCTTTCATAAATAAATAGTTTTAATAAATCAATTAAAAATAGGCAAAGGATATGAATAGTGTTTACAGAAGAGTTGATGGAACAAAGTGGGCAAATGAAAAAATGCTGTATCCTAATGTGAATTAAAAAACACACACAAATTAATACAACATTCATAGCCCATATTTACCTCCAAGGTTGACAGTATTTTAAAAGATTAGTATCTGATATTCTTGCAGGTACGAGGCAAAGAGTGTAATCGTACAGAGCTGGCGGAAGCAAACTGCTAGAAACTTTCTAGAGAGTTGATATCAATATTTTTTAAAATGTGTATGCCAGGATCAATGAGCTACACTGTGATAACAAAGAATCACCCAAACTCTGTAGCACACAAAAAACAGAACTTATTTCTCATTCACACTAATTGCCCAACGAAACTCAGCTGAAGCTCTACTCTGTATTCATGGCAATAGTATAGCCTCCATCAAAAATATTGTGAGATCAGATGAGGTAGTACACACCTATAATGCTAGCACCAGGGAGACTAAGGCAGCAAGATTTCACTATCTCTGGAAGGGAAAATAAAAAGCAATGTAACAAACAACAGCAGAAAATAACTCATCAGTCTAGCAGAAGAAAACAAAACATAGCAAAGCATGGGCTGGTTCCTAAAGCCTCTACCCAGAAGTCTTAATGGTTCTACTCATATTTCATTGGATAAGGAAAATCATGGGATCATTTTGGAGTTCATCAGAGCAAGGACATCAGATCTTCTCACAGGGAGGAGGTACCATGGGGAACAAACTTAAAAACTTAATGAGGCATCATGCAATTTACATTCCACTTGGCCTAATGATTCCAACTTCTAGATCTTTATCCATCAAAAAGCATCATCATGTAAAATGGGCATAGTGATACCCTTCTGAAATCCAACACTGTGGAGGCTGAGACAGAGGATCACAAGTTTAAGGCCAACCTTGGCTGTATAGTGATACCCTGCCTCAAAAAATGAATGGCGCTGTGGCTCAAGCAGTAGAGCGCTCGCCTTGAGCTGAAGAGCGCAGGGACAGCGTTCAAGCCCCATGACCAACAAAAAAAAAAAAAAATAAGAATGTAAAAATAATCAAAAAATGCAAAAAAGTGTTTATGTACAATGAGACCTTTCATGACAATTGACAATGGTAAAAACATTGTAAAGCAACATGATTCTGTGCAAGAAGATGATTGGCTAAACAAATGATGCTATCCTCCCACAATTGAAAACCTTAGCATTCTTCTAGAAGACAAAGAATCTATTACAACACGAGGACATGTCTTAGCTGCTCATTAACAGAAAAAAGCTGTATGAATAACATGATCCCAATTATATAAAAACTGATATATTAGATGTGTCAAAGTACTTAATACATGTTTATTAAATTAACAACTAAAAAATAGTGGATGTTTTCCAAAATGTTATCCAATCTAAAGATGCTATAAGTATAGGAAATTTTCTTTCTTTCTTTCTGTTTCCCTGTACTTTTTTTTCTATTTTCATTTTTGGTGGATGGGTTTGTTTTTGGCAATCATTATGTTTTACTTCCATACTCAGAAAACTATATGCATTATATTTGCTTTAAAAAAATCAATACAATAAATTTAAACAAAACCTAAAGAAATTGGTGGGAAGTGGATTTCTTCTTTTCAGGAAACCACAGTAACAAGGCTTTCCTGTCTTGAAGGC